TAGTTAAAAAAGTGTGACATATTCAACTATCTTAGGAGTACGACATGGGGCGGTGTGTGTAATAAGTTGAAACTATTGTTTCCATATTTACCATTTTTATTATAATCAAACAAGTACCTGAAATTACTTTTGTCGCAGTAGTGTTATCCGATGCGCTTACTAATATAACGGGCAAATCATATGACGACATTTTTGTATTCTAACATGTAGTTAAATCATCTTACTTTACAATACTTCTAGATGTCGGATTATATTTTATTAAACTATTTCTAAATGTGTGAATACTGTGTGAAGTGACAATGACAATGACAAATGGCAACTGTCAACTGGGTATGTATGTATTGTATAGTCCCGCAAGGCCATTGTGGCTTTGTGGCATCTTTTTGACATTGACAGGATGGCGTCTCTGAGCAATTAGGGTTACCAACAAGGTAATGTTTCCACATTTAAGGAAAATCTTTCCGTTTAGAAAACGACAACTCAAATTGTAAAGGAAGCACTTGTACATTACAACGTAACTAGAAAATCAGTGCTTATGTAGAGAATAATAGAAATCTTAATGATTGTTGTTTACAATCAATGCACAGTTCAAATTATGTGGTACGCCCTGTGGTTTCTACGAAACAATGCGGTATAAAATCATCAGACAGCCAGTTTCCTGTTATATTTCCGAGTACACGCAGTAATTTCCTTATTACGTAAGTAAATAAGTATGTTAAAAACCAAAGTTCTTGTTTATTTTGTCATGAAGGAAATACTACCAGGTGCACAAAACACATTAAACCTAAGAGTTCGGTCACTGCAGTTTAAAATGAATAGGTAATAAAACAACTGTAAGAAAAATAATTATAGGTCAATTATTGTTTATATAGGCAAACTGCTTTGTCACAAAATACCTATTTAGGTATTTTTGAAGGTCTTAATGAGGGACTACTTACTATTATAAGTATATAAGTTGTTAGTAACATAAACATTTTCTAACATCTGTTTATTTGGTCTTTGTCGAATCTGTCAGTTACATTGGACTTTGTAAAAAACCGTCAAGAATCCAGTGTTGCCAATGCTACGTCTCTAATTGCCGTGTTCTACGGGTTATCAAACTAACAAATCTACGGCCGCAAATTTAAGGCCGTAGATTTACGGCTTTTCGAAAAATCAACAATAATTCATTGTTTTTCTTTAATAAATTCATTTTTAAATAGCTAATAAAAGTAAAAAAAAAAAGATTTGTGCCGAAAGTAATTTTTAAATCCCACAGAAAATATAAAAAAAACTGCCGAGTCTCGCTTTCCCTATAAAAGAGTGTTAGATGTCATGTAAAATCTGGTTATTTTAGTTATTACGTGTCTATTACGTGAAACCTTGGCAATAACACGGTGCCATCATTTTCAAAGAATTATTTATTACATTTCTATCAAAACCTCACGAGAATTACGTATTTTAATATAAAAACAATTTATAAAACAAAGTAGGTAGTAACAATTTATAAGACAAATTTAACACAGTTCATTGATATAAAAACGTTGAAACAGCACATTTAGGTAATGCTGAAAAGTTTTACTTTCTTACTAGTGCTACGGCGTACTACGTACTTTCCCACATTAACACAACCTTTTACACGATGTACACGGCGGGGTAAAAAAATTAATTGACAACACTGAAACAATCAAGCCAGTGTCAAGTGATGTCAACATCGGCTTTAGCAGATGAAAAATGAGATGATCTTATAAAAAATTAAAAATATTTTGATCCTGATTAAAGTCGTCGACAAAGTCGTACTTGTGTACATTTTTCACTCTGATATTTAGGAAACAACGTAGTATCTACGTTATGGTATTTTAAAATTGTTTACAAAATAGCGATAAATCGCCACCATGAACAATATAATATCATGGACCGCTGAAGACGAGGCCATCATTGCGACTAATACGGACGCTACAGAGTGCAAGCGGTGCGCCGTTGAATTAGGCTACTGGAAGGATGATTACATAGTTTATTTCGCGAAACATGTAGACAGAAAAGCTCCCGAAATAAATCGTGGCTACTACGCCAGAGTAAAGGCCATGGAAATGTTTATTCATCAGTTTTTAGAGGTCGGTAACTTTGCTTAAAGAAAGTAGTCGCAACACACTCACAGTTATCACTTATCACTCTTACATTTAAATAGCGGTAGATGTACAGGCTGGAAATGTTCATATTCGTTTCGTTTATATTCTGAAATTGAGATACTCAGAAGCGTCTTTTTATTGCTTTATTTGTAGATATTGATGCAGTACCCTATATTGCAGATATTGCATTGCATATTCCAATTCTGGTCGGTGAAATGAGTAATGCTTGTTTATTTGTTTTCCAGCGCTGTGGGACAAAGTGCCAGATCATTAATTTAGGCTGTGGCTTTGACACTCTCTACTGGAAATTGAAAGACTCAACACAAGCAGTTGGCAATTTTATTGAACTAGATTTCCCTTCTGTAGTAGCAAAGAAATCGCACATCATCAAACGGAATAAGCAGCTGCTAGAAAAGATATCAAATGAAGGTTAGAACATTCTCATTATTTATACATTACTTGTAAAGTCAACTTTTATAAGACAGAAGTCTTACAGGTAAAGAACAATTTTGAATTACTTCATGTTTATTTTAATTATCTTATTCTACTCTCTTGTTTTATTCACATCCATTATAACAAAATTTATTCAGCTCAGCTCAAGTGTAATATTGGCTACTGGGCGGAAGTAGGGGTCGGAGAGGCGCACTTCCACACCGTCAGGGGCTGACAGTACAGTTAAATCTGTAGAGAGGTTTCTTGTTAAGTGGTTGAGAATAATTTATAATTCCTTGAGGTCTGGATACTTTGTGAACAACTTTTATTATGGTGTAATATAGCTTTGTAAAAGGGCCGGGATAGGTATATGAGGCATGTCTTGCTCATAAATGAAATTATAAATGATTGAACAGATGGCGAGGTAATGA